ATCTTTCCCTTTGCCGCAGAAGAAGCCAATTACAATTCGCAAAATCAGTCACGTGACAAATAGAGACCGTTTGCGGGTCTTTTCAAATACCTACATTTTACAGTTGTTTTCGTAAGTAATTTTTCGATTGGAAATTTCAAAGGATTTCAAAAATCCTACGAGCTGAAATGGAAACTGAAAGGTAAGGATTGACTATAGCTACTTTTTGCGAACGTTTAGTAATTTTCTCGGAGCAAATCCGGGGAATCCGGGGCCGTATTTTGATCCTCGCGTGATCGACCATGATGGCGGACTCGACGAAATGCAAGCTTAGGTTGATGTGGTTTTCACAAGGAGAATAATGGCTTTCGAATCCCTTAGAATATTTCTTGGTTTCAGCGAAATTCCTTCTTTATCAAGATCAAAGCGTATATTGAAGTTAAACGCATAACAGATTAGTCTAAAGGTGTGGTAATTAAACTTAGTTTGAAACGACAGACTAACAGTCCTATAGCTAGCTAAGCTCGCGAGAAATCTGTCATAAATAAGTGTACGATTTTTTCATGGTGTCGATTTCCACTGTGCAGCTTCGAAATTAGATTTAAACGTAAGCTTTTAATTGTAAATGCCCACTTCTTGTTGTTAACAAATTCTGCGAACGAGTTCTTCCTCCCACAAAGTTTTTATAACTATAAGATCCACGTTTCACGAATCCAAGTGATAAAATAAGCTGGTATTGATCTTAGAAAGTGGCGGTTATGTGGATTGTACTGTTTAACCGAACCTTAAATAATATACAATCTCAATGAAGCAAAAAGAAGTGTCGTTCTTATATATGACTACTTTTGTTAAGCATGGTAGAAGCCCAAGGGCTCCTTGTAGCTTTTAAAATCCTGCATACAGGTAGAAGACTGAATTACAGCAACTCTTATTTGATCTAATTTTATACATCAGCACTACCAAGAATACCAGCAGACATCTTTCTACATCTTCGGTGGAGGACAGTGTCCGAATGATTAAATCTGAAGTGATACCTTGCTTACAGAATGCTATGCAGACACTGCAAAACATCTGGAGTGAAATTGGTTTAGAAGAAGAACAAAAAGAAGAAAGAACTAAATCTGTTTTGTTTCATTTACGAAATTTATTGCAACAAATGGTGAGTGAGGAGGAGGAATTAAAAGCTACACTACAAGCAAATGTAGAAACTTGCACTCAGGAGTTGGAGAAACTGAGTGAAGAACTGGGAATACCTGTGTTCAAGGTTAGTGATGAGAGAATTTGATGCTTGTTAATGTCCAGACACTTGTAATCAACTGACAGACAGTCACTTGGGGTTTGACTGTTACCTGTGTAGCATATTCTGATTAACACTTAGAGCTGTAACCTGTGACACCTGTTACGGCTGAGTATGCTTGATTTTTCCTTGATGCTTTTATGTTGGAAATTCAGTACCAAAACTGCACAAGGGTCCAAAACTGAAAAATAGCCCTGGTGAAATGATCACAACTTATCACAACATTGTTGGGGGTGCAACACGCCGTAAGAGTTTGGCTCCCCTGTTGCCACATGTTGGGTGTTGTTGGCTCAAGTTTGAATATGGTCAAATTTGAGCCAACAGCACCCAGCAGCTAATATTAATTTTGTCTTGTGTGGACTGAATTAAAATGCAGGAAAAACACGAAAGGATGAAAAACTTGAAGAGTTTGAAAGAGAAAGAAACAAAGTTATGTGAGAGGCTATGTCTTCCTGCTCATAACCTGGGAGAAGTCAATGTACCAAACAAAGAACAGCTAAAAGAATTGGAGGCCAATGTAGAATATTTACAAAAGGAACAAGTAAGTAAAACAAAACAGTTTAATGAGCTATAAACATGTTGCTGCTATTTTCCTGAAACAATAACATTCTGGCCAAACTTGAGAGTTTTTATTTTTGCTTTCATCTGGGTGTATACAGATGACACTTTTTCATAGCCTTCTAAAAGAGATTTTAAATTTAGATTTCAATGCCCAATGCCGTAGTTTACAATATTGGCCTGTTCACTTTTCAGTATAGAGAAAATATTCATTGCCTTGCTGGACCTTCAAATTCTCAGAGCATATTAATAAATTAGGATGGCCATACGTAAGCAGAATCAATACTTTGAAAGCAAACTAACTATGAGGGATTAGGAAAAGTAACATGTTTAATGTTATAAATATCCTTGCACTTGTGATGTCTTTTGTCCACATTTGCACTTTGTCATGAATGGATCATTTAGTTGCCAGACATGTATTTTAGTTGGTAATTGGGGATTCTACATTGCAGGTGAAAAGACTGAATACATTCAAGGAATTGAGACAATTGATTCAAACGTTGTGGAGGGAGTTAGAGGCAGTTCCTTCAACAACTGTAGGACAGGACCTGGCTAAAGATGATGCGGAAAAAACATTTAAACTCTCTTCTCTGAATATTGAGACACTGAAAGATCTTAAATGTGAGGTAAGGCAAAATCACTTTCCCTCGTCTCATGAAATTTACCAGTTGACGCTCTAATCATGACATTTTTTCACAGCTTGAAAATCAGCACAAAAGGTGCGAGACAGAGTCATCTCAATTAAGAGAGACAATCACATCACTTTGGACCAAACTAGAGATTGACGAGTCAGAAAGACAAGCCTTTCTTACTAAACACAATGGATGCAAACCTTCAGTCATTGCAAAGGTGAGGCAGTAAGTTAGTTTAACTATAGAGCTATAATGTATACAAGACTTAAAGTCAATTACAGGTGTATGACATTTATGTGATAGAAGTGAATGTTATTATGCAAGCACTTAACATCAATTGTGCTAACTTTCAGCTGAAAAATGAAGTCCAAAGATTGCAGGCATTGAAACTACAACACATTCAGAAATTCATTGACGGCCTCAGGTATGTCTGCTTACAAGTAAATTACAGGTATTTCTCAATAATGTTTCAGGTCCTTTTTGAAGGAGCATAACTTTTCTTAGACCACAGTCTTGCACTGAGAGTTTGAAATAGCGGGGTTCAGCTGTACAAGTATTTTCAGTTATATATAACATGATAAAAGTTCCTCCAGTTACATAGATTTACAGAATGAAATAAATTACAGTCTGCATGTAACATGGTGAATTCACTGGATTGTAAGTCCTGGAGGTTACTTGTTGGTTTAGCCCACACAATTTCATTTGCTAACTGTAGCACAGAACTCTGTTACTGATCTGACTTATTTACTGATCCTTCAGAAAGGAACTATCTGAGCTCTGGGACAAGTGTTATTTTGGTCCGGCACAGCGAGAAGAGTTCACCCCAGCTTTTGATAGTAAGTGTGAACAGTGCTGCTACTGGCTTACAAGTTTATCTGGTTTTACTTTGCATGTACATTTTCATATAAGAAGTCATGTGATAAATTTTAAGTTGATCAGTGTTGCATTGTAAAAGATTTATTGTTCTGATTTGCCTGCTCATAATGAAGATGTTTGTGATCATTGATGAAGAAAATTGACTCAAAAATTGCAGTTACTGTACATCTCATGGGCATGAAAAATGTGCAAAGCATGAAATGCATTCTGAAAGCTACATTGCGTTAACTTAGTTTTTTGCACGCAATGCAGGTCTATGGTATTGGCTTTTAGTGTTATATGTATGCAATGCATGCAGACGACTAGGTACATGTAGGTACATAAACCCTTTTCACGCTTTACAAGCCTATGGTTCTTGGTAATAACTTTATACTGTAGTATGCAATGCATATAGAGGGCTATGCAGCTGAAGTCCTTTTGCACACATTGCAGGCCTATGGTACTCAGTAATAGTGTTACAGGTATGCAATGCATGCAGAGGGTTACAGTAGCTGTAGCCCTTTGCATGCATTGCAGTCCTATGGTACAAGGTGATAGTGTTACAGGTACGCAATGCGTGCAGAGGGCTATGTAGCTGAAAACCTTTGCACATATTGCAGGCCTATGGTACAAGGTGATAGTGTTATAGGTACGCAATGCATGCAGAGGGCTATGTTGCTGTAAATGTTGATACACAGTGTAGGCTTATAGTATAATTACAAATTCCCTGAAACTAGATTGAGTGAAATTGCTGTTGTGTCTGTATTATTCTTTATACATGTAATATTAGCACAAACACACTCAGTGATCTTGGTATTTCAAGCAATCTGATTGGTTGGCTATCTCTGGGTAAGGAACATTATTCACCCCCTACCGAGTGAATAATGCATGGTCCAAGCAAAAACAAAATGGCTGGCGTAAACTCGTGTTTCGCCAGTGTTTTTGAAATGGAAATCCCGCGACTACAATGCTGTACCAGAAAATATAAAGGGTCGATCAAGGGTATTGATCAACACTCAATTGCGGATGCCTTTAGTACACATGATCCCCCATTTTCAATGTCTGTCCTTTTAAATTTCAGACAACTTTACAGAAGAACTCTTGGCACTCCATGAGCATCAGGTGGAAGTCATGAAAAATTACTATGATGGAAACAAGGAAATTTTCAAACTTGTGGAGAGAAGAGAAACTCTGTTTAAGACAATGGAAGAATTTGAGGTGCTAGTTATTTATTTGCATGTAATATTGGTTGTCCATGATTAAAATAGAACTGACAATGACAATAATATTGTTGAACTCACTTTTCTAAGACAGGATCAAGGTAGTCATAGTAGTACACATAATTATTGTCTCACATCAAAGTGAACTGTTCCAAAGTACCATAATGTGCTTTTCTCACTCTTTTTTGTTTTTCAGAGTCGAAAAAATGATACAAATCGCCTGGCAAACCGTGGTGGAGCACTACTCAAGGAGGAGAAAATTAGGAAGGGAATAAACAAGGAATTACCCAAGGTGACTTTGATCAGTCATTCTAATGATAGTTTGTGACTGCTGTTGTAAAGTTATAAAAGTTGAAATGAGATCAAACCTTTTTGTAAGTGGGCACTGATTAACCAGGGAGGACTATTAACCCATCCATCATGCTTACTGGTTACAGAATACTGTTATCTATTTTTTGATGTCCTAAAATTAAATTTTAATTGATTACATTGTGGTTACTACGTCAGATTNTGCAACAGCCAGTAGTACCCAAATTGATTGTCACTAGTAAGAAGGCTTTTCTTGTTGCCATAGATGCAAGACTGTACCACATCAACACCATCAAGGTTGCCACTGCATTCTAGTGTTTGCCCATCCCCCAGACCTGCCAAAGGAAACACAAATGGCCGCCCACCAGTTGCCACTAAATCAAACATCAGACGAGTGGCCAAGACAATAAAGAAAAAGGTGGTGAGCAAACACAAATAACATATTGTTACCCTCAGCACTCTGTCAGGTCGGATTGTGTGTACTAAAGGCATTCGCGATTAAGTGTCCCGAGATTGATACCCTTGATTTTATCGACCCTCTATTGACATGCCATTGACATCAGCTCAAACAACTTTCATTTGGCATCTCCATCGATACTAATGGTCAACACTACAGTCGAACCTCGATTATCAGGACTTTTTCTCTAGTCCCAATTTTTTCATGTATATTTATTAGTCATGATCAAGATCCGTACCAATATTCATTTTAAAACTATAGCATTGAAAAGTGCTTGCAAAAGCGAGGGTTTTTTGCTTTTAAAGAGCAAAAGCAGCGCTTGCACGCGTCATAACTAATGAAGAACACTCGAATGAGTTCTGATTGGCTCAGAGTTGAGTGGTTCAAGATGTACAGTAGACCATATTGTTTTCCAAGCAATTTGT